GTAACATGGTGGGTAACATGGTATGGTGGGTAACATGGTATGGTGGGTAACATGATGGGTAACATGGTATGGTGGGTAACATGGTATGGTGGGTAACATGGTGGGTAACATGGTATGGTGGGTAACATGGTGGGTAACATGGTATGGTGGGTAACATGGTGGGTAACATGGTATGGTGGGTAACATGGTGGGTAACATGGTATGGTGGGTAACATGGTGGGTAACATAGTGGGTAACATGGTGGGTAACATGGTGAGGTTTTACTTTCTTTCTTGATTATTGTAATTAATCTGAAGTAACACACAGACATGTATTGTGTAATAATATGTTGGTAAGATGGAACAATCAGTTTCAAGTTTCAAGTGTGACATGGTTTATTTTACAAACGTTATAAATTACAATAACATGGGATATATCGTTATATACTCTACATATCGGCGGCTATTAATTGACAAATAAGTATTTTGGAAATGAAGATCATTCCCAGTATCATACTGTCACATCGGAGTGCTATTTCATCACCAACTCCCCCCTCCCCCAATAATTTAGAATTGACATGCTTATTGCCTATTTATATATTTATTCAACAAAGATTCAGTTAAACATGTTTCTAAATATAACTTGTTATTCCTTTTGTTTCCTCCCCTCTTCATCCTTTTTCTGGGTCCCTTTTTTTATCTCACATCTCTTGGTTCAGCCCAAAACGACCTTGGCTGTTGAAAAGATTTCAACAGACTTGATAAAAGATTTGATCCGGTATTGACCTGACTTGTCTCATGAGACAAAGTTTCCTGACTTCTACCTACGCATGATGTATTTATAAAATTCTATAACCAAGACCTGAGGCAGGTTCATCAACAAAACAGAGTTGATTGAAAGGTCTAGGATAATTTCCCATTGTATTTATTGTTTTGATATATACTTGAGATGTAGAAGGTGTGTGAGAACAGTGACATCATTTCCTTATCGACATCCGACATGTTAAGAGGATGTCAGCGGTACACACGGAGGAAATCTATACAAACACCTACTGCACACTTATAAAATCATTCTTACTGTTTTCACTGAAAGCACACACACACATACAAGTAAGATAACGGAAGTTAGGAGAATTATCGATCATCTATATACCTGCAGGCCTCGTGACATCATACTGAATTTCTTAACTTTATGTATTAATGTGATTCATTTTTTATAACAAAATTAATTCTCTTTAATGTTTTATTCTCTTGATATGTTAATACTGTTTTCTTTTTTCACAGTTTTAATATAATGGGCCTTAATGTAAAGTCTTTAAAACATTAAAGTTGGATGTGTTTCATGTATTATTTGCTTCACCAAAAATGTGAAATAAATACTCAGTTTTTATTAAGGTTTTTCTATTAGTGCCATTGGCTTGAAACAGTCAAAATATCTTGATGAGAAAAGACAGTCATTTTCTTATTTTTTTTCCAAGGGATCCTGTTTTTTCTATTTTTTTTTTTTTTTTTGCTACTTTTGAGAATGGAATAAAATCACTGAAAATAGAATGAGTGTGGAAAACCTTCTTCTGTATCATAATCTCTATGAAGCATACTTGCTTTTTCCTTTAAACGTTTCATAAAATAGTGAAAACTTGGAGCATTGAAAAATAAACGTTATCATTACCTTTGTGTTGGCACTGCCTTAGACATTACTTAGGTCACATTGATGTTAATACTTCATATTTAAAGGTCAAAGAAGTACATACACAAATTATTAATATTCTGTTATTGTTCATGTCAGATTGTTGATTTTTTTTAACTGTTGAACCAAAATTTGTGTAAAATTTAATTTAAGTGTAGCACATTGATAATTAAATAAAGGCATTTTGATCAATTTCTTACAGTCCAAAGGGATTTATTCCTATTTCTGAATAATTCATCTTCCTAATTTCTGTTTCACATAAGTAAACAATTTGACTTATTGATTAATTGATTAGTTGGTTAATAATTGATTGGCTGGTTAATGGGGCTTACAATTTCTTCACTGCTCCTCCCTGTGGTGTAATTAAATACACAGTGCCACTGGGTGACATAGTTATGTAAATAAAGGGACAATTTCATCAGACAGGATGTGGAGGCGAGATTGCATAACTATTGGCTAATATAAGTATCCAGCTCAAGGCTAATTGACCCGTACAGTTAGAATTAATTAATTTATTGGTGGTCAAGTTATCGGTGCTTTGATGATGACTATTAAGGGACCACTCTTCTATTTATAAGCACCAGGGTAATTTTAATTTCCTAATTCAGTGATAAGGTCTGGTCTTAATTAGAGATAGTGGGATACTTCCTTGATACATACTGACCAGCACCTATTAGTGAGCAGTACTATCAAGGTATACATGGTCAGTGTGGTCAGTCGGTCACATGCCAGGTCTTATCAGGATTATACCAGTCAAATCCTCTTGCTCCTGTCAAGATCTCACTGTTATTAACAAAATATTCTGTGGGACTTGGTGTTGGCAGATGTGATGTATTGTAGGCTAATGCCTATGTGACAATCTGTGTAGGATATTTGGAGTTTTTCTCTCCCTGATTCCTGGGATTTCTGAACCTCTTTGCCTCTCATTCTATTGCTATTGGATTTATGTTTGACCAGATCAGGAGAACTGACATACACTACAGGTAGACATATAACACTACTTTACAGGTTAACAGTTTGTACCATATGTTGGTGACAGGTTGGGGTGTCATATAGAAAAGTAACATACCGTATTCATTACGTACCATATTCATTCAGCAATGAACCCCTATCCAGTAATAAGCCCACTCATACATGTTGCAGAAAATGCCTAGAAATGCTGTCTCAATAAGTTGTCCTGTAATAACAAGCCCACCCCTTATTTAGAAAAATCTATTGGTCTCCTGCTGTTCAGTAATAAGCCAGCCTCAGTTTAAAGAAATTTGTTTGCCCCCTAGTGTCCAGTAATAAGCCCACCTCAGTCAGAAGTAATGTATTGGTCTCCTGGTGTCCAGTAATAAGCCCACCTCAGTCAGAAGTAATGTATTGTCCTCCTGATGTCCAGTAATAAGCCCACCCCAGTCAGTATTTTATTTGTTGTATTGCTGGATAAAAGGGATAAATGTCAAGTCAATTTCATTTGAAGTCAGTACACATATATATATAATAAACACAAGCCAGAGGCTTTTACAACTGACACATTGACACAATTTTTCACTATATTTAGATATTGACTGACCCATGACCCAAACTAATTCGACCACATTTTGACAGTTTGAAGGGATGGAAATGTAGAATTAATCTTATATACAGAATGTAGTTAAAATGTCTGGTTGTCTTTTCTTTATGGTGTTATTTGGAATTACACTTAGCGTGATAATATGGGCCCCTTGATATGAGATGCTTGGTATTTCTGGAACCCCAAGACTGTAATTGTACTTTTTTTCATTCATGACATAAGAAGGAGCTGGTTAGGGGAGGAAGTTTTAATACACCAGAGGGAGATGAGGTGATATTGACTAGATGTACAGGTTGTTGTGATCAATATATACATGTAGAGGTTGCCGACTGCTGCTGGAATACTGGGACAGCGAGGGGGAAAAATCAATCCTGGGACATTTACCAACACCCCTCCGAGCAACAATAGGTCAGGCCATGTCAGTGTAATAGGACGATCCTAGTCTGAAATTAGTGAAAACAGAATGCTACTTTGTCGTGTTAAAGGTTATAGATCTCAGACGAGAATCAATGAAGCTAGGTAATTATCTACAAACATCTATTTTTGGGATAAAAAAAATTCAAATTGTGGGTGATAAATTTACTATAAAGTTAAATTTGTACTAGATTATATGTATCCTTTAAAATGACAATCAAAACTGTACATGTGTGTCTTAAAAATTAATTGATTAATATAATGTATTTCATCGAAAAGTTAAACATGAAAACAACATTTTCATTAAGGTTTAAATCTGTTCATTTCGCTGGTTGATTGTGAATCTTGCTTTGTCAAAGTGATCTGTCAATGTGTGGCTCCGACAGTCAATCAGGATGTTTGCATAGCCAAAAATCAACATAGATTTTACACTCAATACTGGTGTAAATCATTGCTATAAGTCAATATCATTAAGTGGTATGATATTAAGTGTAGTTGTAACTCAGTCATTTATCAATAATAAAAGAAACTGACTTCAGCAATGTAACAAGAACACTCACACTCTTGTCTGGTTCTCACAGGAATAGTACAAGAGATCTTTCACCCTTAAAAAAAAATTTTGAGTGTTAGGAAACTTAAATTAGGGTTAATCACTACCACGTTGATTGCAGTTCGAGATTACACTTCCCATTTCTCCACTGGTATACTACTCCCAGTTTTTGAACCATTTAAGAAATAACAGTACCTGGTACACACTGTATGATGTATTTATATAAAAAAACTTGTGATATGGGAACTGTACAGTGTGATGAAATTTCATGTGTGTTACAGTGTATCATTGTCACTAGAGAATATACAAACTATAATTACAGCATAAACAGAGTATTTCATCGTATTCAGCTGACATTTGCTATCTAAAATCTCGGCAAATTTTGTATACATAATAGTTTGATTTTTGTTGGAGATTTGATGTGCTTTTGTGTTCATGCAAAGTTTGAAACATTAAAAAAATATTTTCCAAATGTGCAATTAGAAGGAAATGTTTGTTGTTTAGGAAAAAAAGTGTCAGTTCTATGTTAATTACTTGTTTAAAGAACAAATTTATACATGTAGTACATAGCACCTCATGTGTAATATTGTATTTGCTTTCATAGACTTTCTCAGTATTCAGGTTTCTAAATACATGAATATTACATATGATACATTTGTATTTAAAGTCAAATTCAATTTCTAGGAATTGAACACGGAGATACAAAGCCATGTAAAGGAAAATTCTTTTAAATATGGTCTGTCTCCCAGCTTGTCTTTCATTGCCTTATCATAATATTGCATTTGATTTTCATGATAAATTTGTATTTTTCAGTGTCACAACTTCAAGGAATGGAGATGACCTCCTGAGACAGAAATCCCGGTCAAGGTCAGTTGGTGGATCACCACTGGAGTCACCAAGGACCAGCAAGCTTGTGAACCAGGGAGGTAGCCTCACGCAGGGCAACCGTTGTCAACGGCAACGCTCACTGCGGAGAACAGAAGATGAGGTGAAAAAGTCCAGGTCACAGTCCGTAGCATATGAACTGTCACAAGACCTGCAAGAGAAACAAGTTGAAATGCTAGAAAGGAAATACGGAGGGTCTATAAGATCTCGGCGTGCTGCAAAAACAATCCAGAGGGCTTTCAGGCAATATTGTATGAATAGAAACTTTGAGAAACTAAGGATAGCAGTAGGTGAAAGAAGGTTATCGAAACGTCTCTCAGAATTAGGTCGCAGTAACACAATATGGACAGACAGAATTAGTGCTGATAGTCACTATAACAGTAGTATGGGTGCTACCCTGATCCAAAGTAATGGAGATGTGCAGAGACACACAGACACTAGCCAGGAAATGGGGGGGAAGTACGTATCAGGGTATGATATGAATTTATACAGAGAACATCCGAGAATGAAACCTCAAATGTCTCTTGATCCAAATATGAAACTTGATCCAAATCGGATGAAACTACCCCGAAAAGATAGGAAACGATTGGAGAGGTGTACGGAGGTCATAGATCAGCCTGATATACCGCAAGAGGAAAAATCACATCTCAACGATGAAACAAACAATAATAGGAATTCTTATCCAGAGATGAACGACAGTAGTAATAGTGAGTCTCCACAGAATTCAGTTGACCTACATAGTTTCCACTTTGAAACTCTGCTCGAAAGTAAGGAGACAGACGGTTTAGTAGAGAGTTTTCAAAGTGATAGTGCAATTCACAGTGTCCACAGTGAGCCAATGTTACATCCAGATTTAGCATCAAATTTAGGAATTTCTCAAAAACCTTCCACCTCATCTTTGTACTCCAACACAAGTACAGACACTTACGATAGTGCTAAAAGTCGTAGTGCTTCTTACGAAAATTTTCGAACCAATTATTCAGACTCAGGGTCACTTGGTAGTCAAGGTGACATACAGATTAAAGTAGAACAATTATCTCCGGATGGGATTCGAACCCAGGAACAAAAACAAATGGCGGACCAGACATTAAAGTATTATATGAACCAAGAAGTGAAAATGCGTGGTAAAACTGAGGGAAGTGCTAAAAAACCACCTCTGGTGCCTGTACGGGCTCCTGAAGCATCTCCGATATGGAAACGGAAAAGTGCTGCCAATGGGGGACCTGGTGCTGTGACACCGACACAAAAGACACTGGAACCAAAACGCATGAGTAACATATCAGAAATGAGTGAAGCTGATTCCCTAGATGGACGATGTTCTAGTTCGCCAAGTTCAGAAAACATGAGTCTAGCTGGTGACAGTAGTATAGGGTATCAGAAACGACTTAGACTAAGCATGACACCCGATCATCAACATATGATGCCCAAGACGGCAGACAAACACCGAAAACGAACCTACAGGATCGGATTAAATCTCTTCAACAAGTAAGTACAAGATGTAATGGGTTATTTCTGGGAGTTTGACTGGAGGTAAATGTTGGGGTGGTTACAACAAGTACAAGATGTAATGGGTTATTTCTGGGACTTTGACTGGAGGTAAATGTTGGGGTGGTAACAACAAGTACAAGATGTAATGGGTTATTTCTGGGACTTTGACTGGAGGTAAATGTTGGGGTGGTAACAACAAGTACAAGATGTAATGGGTTATTTCTGGGACTTTGACTGGAGGTAAATGTTGGGGTGGTAACAACAAGTACAAGATGTAATGGGTTATTTGTGGGACTTTGACTGGAGGTAAATGTTGGGGTGGTTACAACAAGTACAAGATGTAATGGGTTATTTGTGGGACTTTGACTGGAGGTAAATGTTGGGGTGGTTACAACAAGTACAAGATGTAATGGGTTATTTGTGGGACTTTGACTGGAGGTAAATGTTGGGGTGGTTACAACAAGTACAAGATGTAATGGGTTATTTCTGGGACTTTGACTGGAGGTAAATGTTGGGGTGGTAACAATAAGTACAAGATGTAATGGGTTATTTCTGGGACTTTCATTGGAGGTAAATGTTGGGGTGGTTACAACATGTAAGTACAAGATGTAATGGGTTATTTCTGGGACTTTGACTAGAGGTAAATGTTGCGGTGGTAACAACAAGTACAAGATGTAATGGGTTATTTCTGGGACTTTCATTGGAGGTAAATGTTGGGGTGGTTACAACATGTAAGTACAAGATGTAATGGGTTATTTCTGGGACTTTGACTAGAGGTAAATGTTGGGGTGGTAACAACAAGTACAAGATGTAATGGGTTATTTCTGGGATGTTCACTGGAGGTAAATGTTGGGATGGTAACAACAAGCAAGTACAAGATGTAATGGGTTATTTCTGGGGCTGTCACTGGAGGTAAATGTTGGGATGGTAACAACAAGCAAGTACAAGATGTAATGGGTTATTTCTGGGGCTGTCACTGGAGGTAAATGTTGGGATGGTAACAACAAGCAAGTACAAGATGTAATGGGTTATTTCTGGGGCTGTCACTGGAGGTAAATGTTGGGATGGTAACAACAAGCAAGTACAAGATGTAATGGGTTATTTCTGGGGCTGTCACTGGAGGTAAATGTTGGGATGGTAACAACAAGCAAGTACAAGATGTAATGGGTTATTTCTGGGGCTGTCACTGGAGGTAAATGTTGGGATGGTAACAACAAGCAAGTACAAGATGTAATGGGTTATTTCTGGGGCTGTCACTGGAGGTAAATGTTGGGATGGTAACAACAAGCAAGTACAAGATGTAATGGGTTATTTCTGGGGCTGTCACTGGAGGTAAATGTTGGGATGGTAACAACGTACAAGATGTAACTGGAGGTAAAGCAAGTACAAGATGTAATGGGTTATTTCTGGGGCTGTCACTGGAGGTAAATGTTGGGATGGTAACAACAAGCAAGTACAAGATGTAATGGGTTATTTCTGGGGCTGTCACTGGAGGTAAATGTTGGGATGGTAACAACAAGCAAGTACAAGATGTAAAGGGTTATTTCTGGGGCTGTCACTGGAGGTAAATGTTGGGATGGTAACAACAAGCAAGTACAAGATGTAAAGGGTTATTTCTGGGGCTGTCACTGGAGGTAAATGTTGGGATGGTAAGAATACATTTATAGAATCATTATTGTGATATCCAGCAGTTTCCCAGTTGTCTTGTAGGTATTAACAAGAGCTATTTCATTGACCTTTAAGAAGGTCATTCCCCTATGTCTGTCAGAGTTGATGTGCTAGCCTGCAGACGTAAACAGGATAAATATGGTTCACAAGTTTCCATAAGAAATGAGTCAAATATGTCCATTTCATATTGTCTTATTCGGGTCCTTTTTTATTTTTCATTATGGTCTCCACTTTGAAGTAGTGATATTATCTGTAGATGTATGATGTCATTTCCTGTCATTCCAATAGGTCATTTTACCAGGTATGGGAGTTAAAGCCCAGTGATTATCGTCACAGTCATGTGATCCAAGTATTACAGGTTCAAAACTAGTGAAATGATGATTCTTTGACTGTTACACAAGGTCCTTTGTTGGCTTCATCTGATATCTAACATTGGTGCCACAGTCTATAGACTTACAAGCAGATGACTGCCTTACAGGGGATCATTTGGGGAGAAAATGATTGTGATTTGATTTGTTTAAATTTTGTTTTTGAACTTTGACCTTTGTTCAATAAAGATTTTGTTGTGCTGAAGATTAATATCACAGAAGTATCCTATTTGTATTTATTTGTAGTTATCAGAAACATCCATTGTGACAGTTACTGTGTCTGTTCAGCAGCACGATCTTTATTATGATAGCTTCTCTTGTACTTGTGGAACTCTTAAAGAATATAAACATATTCCGACTTTTCATCATAGCAATTTGTTAACACATAGGGTGCTATCGTGTTTCTATCATCACACATTATTTGTGAACAGGAAGTCTGTTGGCAGTGGTATCCTTATTTCTGAAGCGCAGGTGGCTAAGTTAAGGTGGAGAAGTTTCAATGTGGGTCTAACCAGAATAGATTGGTGTTAAGATAACTGGATGTTGTTTATCTAATAACTAGATCCTACTTCTCAGTTGTAGTATATTCATGAATATGTAAATACATTTCATTACTTTAAATAATGATTCAAATTTAATACACAATGGTTTGCAATATATCAGATTTCAGGTAAACTAATTGCTAAAACTAACTTCTAAAGGTTTGAAATTTAATTTACCAGGTATGTTTACACTTGATACTCAAGATCTTGTGTAAATATTCTACTCAATGCTAAAGCTAACTTTTAAAGATTGATTATGTGTACATTGTTATCAACTGCTTGATGCAACCCTAATGGTTATTCACTTTTTTATATTATTTACAGAAAACCTGAGAAAGGTATTCGTTTCCTGTGTGAATATGGTTTCATTGACGAGTCTCCACATGTCGTGGCAAGGTTTCTTATCACAAGGAAAGGACTCAGTAAACAGATGATTGGTGAATACCTCGGTAACCTTCAGAATGAGTTCAACATGGAAGTCCTTCAGTAAGTGTCTTCATCATCAAGTCGCTACACTAAATTGTGAGGTCATAGTTCAAGGTCAAAGGTCTTTTTCAGGCTTCAATATGTATGTCATATTCTTTGAATGTGACAACTTTATTTAAAAAACTGTTGGTGGTTTTTACTCCGAATTTGTCAAAATTTCATTTTCAGACAATTAACAAATCATTAAAAATGGTTCGGAAATGTAAGGGCCTTAAGGTACATCTAACAATATACCAACATTATGATACATATGTTGTCCCCCTCCCCCATCCCAAACAAAAAACCACTTTGCAAATTAAGGTGAAATCCTAATAATGTTAGTCTCTGTAGAAATTAGAACTGGAATTAGTTAGAACTGTTTAATTTCAAAAACGACTGTATATCAAGGTGAAATCCTGATGATGTTACTCTCTCTAGAAGTTGGAGCTGAGACTATAAAGAACAGTCTATTTTCACATCGACTATTTGTTCTATCCAGTAGTTATAAACCAGATGTAAACGTTATTATTTAGGGTTTTTTTAGTGTGATTGTTTGAATGTAAGTGTGCTCAAAAAAAAAGAGAAAATAACGGGATATTGATGTATAAGTAACACACAAAAACGAGGAAGAGAGAAGAGAGGGAAGGGCAGCTTTGAAAAGAGCAATGTCCATACTGTGTAGGTCACCGCTAGGCATTATCAGACTTTAAATATTCAGTGTCTGGTATTATTCTAATCAATGCAGCCAGAGTTTCAGAGTACATCAAAAGACTGTATGCACAGCCAGTGAATTATTCAACATAACACCTACTTGGACCCAACAATTACACGAGATCAACATAGTCTGGCTATATATGGAGATTCTAGCCTACCATCAGATCAATTCTACTTCACACAAGATTTCAAGTTCTGTACTTAACAGCAGGCTCAGCATTCTTAGAAAATAATGTAAAGATCAATTTTACACAATGAATTAATTTTCCTACTTGAGTATGATATCGATTCTCATATTTAAATTTAAATCAGTTTGAGAGCTTCAATTTCTTTAATCTAGATAGAATTGTCTTTTATCTTATTGATGTAAATGGCTACCGCATTTTCTTCAAACAGATTTCTCTAGTGTACAAGGTCATTGGGTTAAACGTGAAAACCTTCAAGCATGTATTGATTGTTCAATGTATTAAATATGATGGTTTTAATTATTTGCTTGGCATATAGAATAGATGATATTGTTAAAATAAATAAACTTGACAGATTTTGCAAGTCTCATTCAAACACTGAAATTTTCCATTAGGAACTAATTTTCCTTGTTATTTTATGCAATGCACAATAGAAACTAGTCACTTTCAAATGTAAGGATGTAAGTTGTGTTTATTAAAACCATTCAAGAACGAGTATGTAACACGTGTTGATAAATCTTTGGTTCTTACCTGTTATTGATTATACGTGAACCTGAGAGATCTTAACTTATTTTGATTATAAGTGAAACTGGTGGTTCTTAACTAATTTTGATTATAAGTGAACCTGGTGGTTCTTAACTAATTTTGATTATAAGTGAACCTGGTGGTTCTTAACTAATTTTGATTATAAGTGAACCTGATGGTTCTGAACTCATTTTGATTATAAGTGAACCTGGTGGTTGTTAACTAATTTTGATTATAAGTGAACCTGGTGGTTCTGAACTCATTTTGATTATAAGTGAACCTGGTGGTTGTTAACTAATTTTGATTATAAGTGAACCTGGTGGTTCTGAACTCATTTTGATTATAAGTGAACCTGATGGTTCTGAACTCATTTTGATTATAAGTGAACCTGGTGGTTCTTAACTAATTTTGATTATAAGTGAACCTGGTGGTTCTGAACTCATTTTGATTATAAGTGAACCTGGTGGTTGTTAACTAATTTTGATTATAAGTGAACCTGGTGGTTCTTAACTAATTTTGATTATAAGTGAACCTTAACTAATTTTGATTATAAGTGAACCTGGTGGTTCTTAACTAATTTTGATTATAAGTGAACCTGATGGTTCTGAACTCATTTTGATTATAAGTGAACCTGGTGGTTCTGAACTCATTTTGATTATAAGTGAACCTGGTGGTTCTTAAATTTTGATTATAAGTGAACCTGGTGGAACTAATTTTGATTATAAGTGAACCTGGTGGGTTAACTAATTTTGATTATAAGTGAACCTGGTGGTTCTGAACTCATTTTGATTATAAGTGAACCTGGTGGTTGTTAACTAATTTTGATTATAAGTGAACCTGATGGTTCTGAACTCATTTTGATTATAAGTGAACCTGATTATGGTTGTTAACTAATTTTGATTTTGATTATAAGTGAACCTGGTGGTTCTTAACTAATTTTGATTATAAGTGAACCTGGTGGTTCTTAACTAATTTTGATTATAAGTGAACCTGATGGTTCTGAACTCATTTTGATTATAAGTGAACCTGGTGTTTCTTAACTAATTTTGATTATAAGTGAACCTGATGGTTCTGAACTCATTTTGATTATAAGTGAACCTGTGGTTGTTAACTAATTTTGATTATAAGTGAACCTGATGGTTCTGAACTCATTTTGATTATAAGTGAACCTGGTGGTTGTTAACTAATTTTGATTATAAGTGAACCTGATGGTTCTGAACTCATTTTGATTATAAGTGAACCTAATGGTTCTGAACTCATTTTGATTATAAGTGAACCTGGTGGTTCTTAACTAATTTTGATTATAAGTGAACCTGGTGGTTCTGAACCCATTTTGATTATAAGTGAACCTGATGGTTCTTAACTAATTTTGATTATAAGTGAACCTGATGGTTCTTACCTGCTTTAGAATTGAAATTACCCAAATGATACTGAATTACAATGGACAAACTCCGATTAAAAGTGGCGTCACTGTTTGTGAGATGTGCTAGACATCCTTTTATTCTTAGCAACTTTTGTTGTATTACAAATCAGAAACACAGTCAAACAATAAAACATGTTTCATGTGAGGTATCAGTTAAGGCATTTTTTCACAAATTTTATAAAGTTTGTACCTTGTGTGATGCTGGAATGTTTACACTAAACTAATGTCTCTGGCCCTAGTATAGAGTTATGGCCCTTTGTTCATAATTGATCACTTGCAAATCTCATATTATTATGTTTAAAACAGCAGATTACTTTAACTCAACAAGCACACAAAATTGACATACCATAGTCTGACTATATGGAGATTTTAATCTGCCATCAGATCAATTCTATTTCCATCTGCTTTGCCAACAGAGTTATTGCCCTTTGGTCTTTAACCCTATCTGGCCAGGTTGGATGGACTAGGTATATGAATACTCATAGAATTTTGCTTTGTTTTACATGGTTGTATTGTAGTGAAATGGCAGCCAATATGAGAAGTAAAATAACACAGCTGAAGTAATGAATGTATATCTTTTTCAGTTACTTTGCTCAAGAGATTGATCTAGCTGGGCTCCAGGTGGATATGGCTCTGAGGAAATTCCAGTCCTGCTTCAGGATGCCTGTATGTGTATACTTTTCCCTTTCATCTAATCCCCTTATTCACTTGCCTCTCCCATTTGTTGCTCATTCTTTTCCGGTATTTCCTGAATTCTAATTCCTACATTCAAAGCTCTTCCTCGGAATTGATAAATTTTAGAATTATGTGCAAAAATACAGAGATTTATTTGTTTATCATGACTTGTAAGTGCTATCGCAGTGTTTCCACTCCCTTCTTGTTTATCACTGGGTGATTAATGTTTACACCTATCATGTATGATTATTGTCTACTTTCAGGGAGAGGCTCAGAAAATTGAAAGACTTATGGAGGTAAGTAATAGCATTGGGGTATACTTTTTCTGGTACAGGAGTTTTTTACCCTGGTGACTCTATTTTCCAATTTTATAACTTACATTTGGCATTGACTTCTGGAAATCACAGAGGGATATGGGTCAAGTGAAGGTCACCACTACTATTAGTTAGTCTTTAATTACTATAATCTGGTTTTTAGTTTTTATGTGAAACCAGATATTTGATGAACCTAGATACTCTGGATTTATGTGCGATAGCTTATATAAAAACATCCAGAGAATGTGTTAATATTTATGCAGTCATAACAATATATAGATGTTTATTTTATTTCATCACCAGAAACAATTTCACAAATATATAAGGAAACCTGTAATTTATTTTTTCTATGCAGCCAACTTCTCTTAAAGTTTAAGTATATGGACATGAAGTAAATGCACATATGTCAAAAGTAGAAATAAAGAGGTTTGCAGCTTCAGAATTTTTTTTCTATGCAATATATTTGAGATGGCTGATTGTGGCCAGTCACGGTTGTAAAAATGATATTTTTTTTGGCAGGCTTTTGCATCAAGATATTGCTTCTGTAATCCTGATCAAGTGAAGAACTTTAAAAACCTAGATGTTGTGTTCCTTCTTGCCTTTGCCATCATCATGCTCAACACCGACCTGCACAACTCCAATATTAAGGCAGAGCGCAGGATGAAGCTAGAAGACTTCATAAAAAATTTACGAGGTTTGTGTTGTAATTTTCCTGGTTTATGATGACCATTCAAGTAATTCTTATTGGTGCATAGTCAGGTCAACTGTCAGCAAGTACATTGAGCATGGTCTCTTTAGTCTTCAATATCATATTGAAAATGTCTTGAAAAAGCAGTTCATTTGTACCACCAGAAATCTGGAATGGTTATGAAAATTTCATTAGTAAAATTGTTAGCTCACTTGTTGTAGAGCATATTCAGCTAGATTGTAATATGTGGCATGAATTGTCTGTCAATCGATCTGTCAATAACTTTCAAGTCATTAATTTCTTCTTTAGAACCACAAATCCTGTGGTCATGATACTATAGATTTAATTTCCTGTATAGAAATTAGTTGATAGATTAGATATGGGATTTGAAGAAGGGGATATTTTATCATTATAGGTATAGATGATGGAGATGATGAGAGAGATGTTTTATCAATATATTGTATAATGATGGAAATGATGAGAGAGATGTTTTATCATTACAGGTATAGATGATGGAGATGATGAGAGAGATGTTTTATCATTATAGGTATAGATGATGTAGATGATGAGAGAGATGTTTTATCAATATATTGTATAATGATGGAAATGATGAGAGAGATGTTTTATCATTATATTAAGGTATAGATGATGTAGATAATGAGAGAGATGTTTTATCAATATATTGTATAATGATGGAAATGATGAGAGAGATGTTTTATCATTATATTAAGGTATAGATGATGTAGATGATGAGAGAGATGTTTTATCATTACAGGTATAGATGATGGAGATGATGTAGATCGTGATATGTTGGTGGGTATTTATGAGAGGATAAGTGTGTCTGAGTTACGTCCAGGTGTTGATCATGTTACCCAGGTGATGAAAGTGGAGCAGACCATTGTTGGCAAGAAACCTGTAAGTATTCTGTAGATATATAGTGAGCTTATAATACCTTTGTTCAGACTTATCAGTACACTTTGGCTGATAGTATATATAAAAACGTCATTTATCCATTGTTATTAAAAATATCTTCCATAATGTTTTATGTTTTCCTGAAATTTATTCAAATATACAAACAGACACCATTGCAATAATATTTTCAGACATTTATTTTAAGTCCAAATTTCTAAAAGAAAGCTTTATGATTCAAACAAGAAAAAAAACAGAATTGAAATTGAAAACAAAATATTCTATTGATTTACAGCAACTTGCGCTATCCCATCGGCGACTTGTGTGTTACTGTAGACTGTATGAAGTTCATGATCCACAGAAGAAAGAGAAGATTGGCCTGCATCAGAGGGAGGTGTTTCTCTTCAATGATATCATCTTTGTAAGTGTTCAAATTCCATATGAAAATGACTTCATGTTTTATTGTTTTGTCTGCTTGAGAGTAATAAGAAAACGCTTTTCCTGATACAAAAAATGAGGAAATGGCGAGAGGCATGCCTGCTCCAATCACACTTTCATAAAAAATTTACAAGTTCTTCATTTCTCTGTCAAACAGTATTATAGAAGGCTGATTTTTTGCGTGGTTTTTCTATTCTCTTTTAAAATTGATGTATTGTCTTTAAACTGGAAAACTGATGATTTTTTTTTCTAGCTTGGTTACAACTTATTCTATTCTGATATGTAAAGAAAAAACTCAGGATAAAATGTATTTGTATACTTTTAGGTAACAAAAATCTTCAGCAAGAAGAAGACAGGTATTACATATGCCTTTAAGCAGTCTTTTTCTCTATGTGGTATGCAAGTATTCCTGTTTGAGACAGCACGTAAGTACACAAGTTCATTAAGTCATATTTTTTCCAGTATTCTTAGTATATTTTACACATTAGTTTACATTGAACTATGTGAACTGTTCTGATAACTTGTCATCTGTTTGCCATCTCTCTGTTATCCATTTTCCCATCTGTCTGTAGCGTGTTACTTTTCAGTGTCTTACTAAAATTTCAATTTAAATTCATTCAAGAGGTATATAGTTTTTGTCTTAGTGAAACAAAATTGTTATAAAATATCTATAAGTGACAAATATTTTAAAATTTCTACATATTTCTTACTGTTATTTCAAACTGTTTACATGTCTTTGTGTATAGTATTATATGAAATATATGTATGGCTACATGGATGAATGAGTTATGTCCCTTGCAATTGCTTGTAACACATTACCATATCGTGGTATTTTGTAATTCTGAAATTTTAATTTGGTGTAAAATTTTAGTACCAGCTGAAGTATATGATTTGACCCAATGTCATGGATATGTGTGTAAGGGTAGGGGAGGGGGTACTAGTATCACAGGAAAAACTGAACAGCAACAGATAATAATGGGCTTACAACCAGGCATGTGCTTATTGGCACATCAATACTCTAGAGTCTTAGATTTTCTGCAGTACATTTCCAAGGTATTCTAGATAGTTCTATTATTGATGTGTTACAAAGTAACACTGATACATTGTCTTAATAAACAGGGATTGGCATTTTCACGTTTAATTTTATTTCAAATAACAAAGGAGATACAGACCCTGTGTGTTGATAAACTTATTTCTAGCAGAGTTATGGCCCTTTTGATCCACTGATTTGATATATCTAATCTGTAAAATCAACACCAGTTAGTGCATATCCATCTTTACACCTGTAACAGCTGGGGACATTCCTTCAGTCATTTAGTTCAAACATATGCAAATTAGTAAATAGATAATAAACATCAATTAAAATCAATACAAACGATATCAGATTACCACATCAACAAGAGCTGAAGTTTACATCAAACAAATTCCTTCATTAACAGCTGCTTAAATGTGATGGAAAATATCAATTGCCACAATGACAGCTGTCAAAGATACATTGTGTTTTAATGTACATCCGTTTTCTCTGATAGATTATCAATATGGTGTCCGCTTGAACAACAGCCTTGATGGGAAAGTACTAATCACATTCAATGCAAGGAACGACCATGACCGGCAAAAGTTTGTGGAAGACCTTAAGGAAGCCATCTTAGAGGTGAAATCTCAGAACTGTATTCTATATCAAAGTCAAGGTTGTGTATATCTTTGTAAAAAAAAATTCAATGAAATGCAAAAAATACAAACTTGAAGTTTGGTATGATTCTGAATTCGATATATTGAAATAATAGTAGAAAAAAGAATTTATGAAAACTTTCAAATTTCTTTAATTGAAAACTAACAAACTTTTTTACCAACAGTCTAATGGTATGGAACAGTACAGAATTGAAGAAGAGCTGCAGCGTCACAGTGCCAAAAATAACACTATTGATCGTCACTACGCCAACGACGACTCCCGGGTACTAATGTACGAACTCTCGAAGCCATCTGATCCCACCTTAAATAGATTGTCTGCCCCTGAATGTGGTGGCTTGAAGAAGCTTCCCCTATCCAACTCTCTCACTGATCTGTGCGAAGGTACGCATGTGCATGTACTGCGTTTTTGTTATGTTTACTGCAAACTCCAAACTAAAAAGATCCATAAAGCCTATTTACTTAACATTGAATTAATAAGCTTGTGCCAGAAAACTGTTTTAAATATTTGAGCCATTAACGCTAGCTAATATTGCTTCATTTTCTATTAATCCTTGTTTATGTGCTTGATGCAGGTGTATTAATTTTATAAATAGTTCTTCAGATTTCCATAAAGTTTCTATAAATAACTGATCTGAAGCATTTAAACTAATTGATCAGAAGAAAATGTAAACAATCGGTTCCTTGTGACTTGTATACTATTACCTTTCACATTCAAAGTGATGTATAGTTATATTAGGGAATCAATTGAGATGTGTAGATCGTATTGCAAAGATGTGTCTTATATTGTCTGTATTACACAAAATATACAAAAAAAAATAACATGAAGGTCTGAAACAAGTACTGTTTCCAGTTGCTGGTGTAGAATTTAATATCAATTGTCTAGATTTGACAGAAATGGGTCACTGACTTTGTCAATGTTTTGTATGTCAGTAAGTTGTGCATGATAGATTCATATTAACAGAAGTCAGGTGAGCAGTTTCATTATGTAGACTATCAATTTTAATTTTTCTTTAGAATTAAGTAGTGATCTGTCATTCAATTGTACATGTGACTTGGAAGATACCAGGAATATAGAGTTGTTTTTATACAAGAAAACTATGTTAACTTGCCACTATTTTTTTCCCTAGATGTCCTGTTGACGGTTGGACTATGGGATAAAAGAAATATTACTGTGCAAAAGATTCAATGTAAAATTTTATATTACATGGATTGCACAGGGCAGAATATTATATATGTGTATATATAATTTCATGTTCATGGAGTTTGCAAAAATTATTTGCTTTTTTTTCATCATTTCAAATTTGTGTTCTTTCTCTCCCCCTAAATTTTGAGTTTGACACGGTCTTATTTGTTGTGACTTAACTATGTGCCTGTTGCTAGGTGATTAGCACTTGCACTTCCAGCTCACCTGGCTAAAAAACTTAGTGAGCTTAGTTTATGTTGTGATGCAATGTCCGCCTTCTGTTTTCAACATTTTTTAAAAGTCTTCTCTGAAATGGCAAGATATTTCATCCAAATAATATTGTAACCAATCCTTCAAAATAAGAATTATAGTTTATTGAAGGTCACCACACACCACCAATTAATATACTTAACAGTCCATTTACAGGACAATGTACATTAAAAATATTTATCATAGACCTTGTGATTTCTTATCACAACTGACAGACAGTATGAAAGTAGTTATATATTGTGTTTCCATGGAGACTGTCTGTAAAATTAGGTTTCTGAATACTTATATATAGTACAATGTAATAGTAGCTAAATGTGAAAGTAATATTAACCATTGAGTACAAAATTTTAATCTGTAATATTAAATGCCAGGTACAAAAATTTGCTCTAATGTTAATACATGTAGGAATAGAATCTTGAAGGGGATAAAGATAATTTTGTTACCAAACAATTTTAATAACAAACAAGTTACTTTGGTATTTCAAACCATAACCAAGAGAAACAAAGTCAGTTTTGCACATCAGAAAGTTCACTTTCAAGTTAAGATGTCTGAAAAATTGTATCAGCTATTAATGAAGCCGTAAAAAGAATGCCCCCTTTCTTCTGGCTAGACATGAAGCAGTGTCTATATATATATAGGAGATTACCTTTAAAAGTCAGATTATGAGGGATCAAGAGGGACAAGGGAGAAAAAACAATTTTATTTCCTTTTCTTTTCTTAATTAATACAAATATCAAATAATCATACAGAACAGTAAATCTTTTAAAAATTAGTAGGTCAAGGGAAGTAACTCTGTAAAGATAGTTCAGTGTTATACAAAGAATTATGGTACATTTATTTAAATCCGTGTGGAAATCATATATAAATCATATAATCCTCTAAAGATTCCTATGACCAAACTAGATTATCGTGACAAAAGATAAGACTTGGTGAGTGACACAAGCCTCATTGGCATCTTGCTTCGTAATCTGAGTTTTTCGTTTAGTGACTGAGATGGATAGTAAGCACATTTGATTCATTTTGTAATAATGATTTCGCAAGGCTGAAGTTGCATTGTATTTTTACAAATCAATTTGGAATGGGTTTTTTTTTATATACAAACTGTCAGCTTTGTGTGTTGTCTGTCTTGTCTAAATGTTGAGACATATATTTCTAAATCTGACATTTACAATCTTCCATCAGTTTCCGTGCAAAACTGTTTATCACTTTCATTTTCTCTGTTGAATGTTTTTTATACCACTTTCTTTGTCTTTGTTTTTATATTAGTATGATAATGTAATCATATTTAAACTTCTTATTCTAACACCTCAATATCAGGGATTTATATCAAACATTTTTAACAGTTAACATTTTACTTCAAAAATGAAAAATTTATACTCATTTTTGATAGGAAATTTGTATCCTAGTTTATTTGTCTTAGAGAACGAAACATAAGTCTTTTTTATTGAATTCCTAATGCTGATATAAAGACTATTATATACTGTAAATCAGTTGCATTATGTTATTACACAAACTTACCTTTTCAAACATATTTAGGAATACATGATTTCAAAAATGCTGATCTGGAAATGGCTTAAAATATGCGAATTCTGAGCTATGTAAGAAAACTGTATCATTCTAGACTCCGATATCAGTAACCAAATCAATAGGAATGCCATCCAGTGTTATTTTCTTAGAAATAATCTGGAAGGATTTTAATTTGTGAGTGACTCTCTCCGTATATTAATGCCAGAATTAATCGCTCACAAAATATACGTGATTTACAGTAAGTTATCTGAAGGCTGTTACATTGAACCTGTAGACATTGAACACAGTATAACAAATACATAAGCTATATTTTAAGATAATGTCAATTATCATCAACAGGCTACATTGATCCAAAGTTATGTATTAGTAGATTTACATCTTATACGAGATAAATCCCTGCTATTTTGGTTGTGTATTATTAAACAAATGCTGTTCTTGTAGATATTTATAGATATAGCTGTATTGATGTAAAACTTTCTGATTTACTTGAAATATTTTCATCAAGAAGTTTACAGGAGTATAACGTTACTACTAGTGTAATAAAACTTATGTTAACTGTTCTCATAGCAAATTTTCATATTACAAGCATGTATTTAAATCAGTATTATTGAAATTGAATATGTGTTGTCTTGATAGCAAAATTATATATAAAACATTAATTGGAATGAAGACTATGGTTAAATATATTACAATGATTGCCGTGATATATCAAAAATATATACCAAAATAAGAAATATATGATACCAACTACAAAATCATAACTACAATTATTGATATATCAAGAAGATTTGTGTTTGTATTTGTCTGTACAATATAGCTTCATTACATTGTATATCCTTTCATGGAGAAATTTTTCTGATCCCAAACTTGGTTATCCCTACATCTCATCAAGTCTGAACTCCTGTCTAATCCAGGTCCTGAGTAGTATGACATCTCCTCTAAAATGACCCCTGAATTTTATGACGTTTGATGTACTAGGCAATCCAATTTACAAGTATATTATTACATCAAGGATAATCTGATACCTGGTTTTCTTACATAACCAACTTTGTTTCTAATCTGACCCCTGAGTGATCTGACCTCTGACCCCCCTGAGTAATCTGACCTCCGACTCCATGAGCGATCTGACCTCTGACTTCCTGAGTGGCCTGAGGTCCTGTTTTAGTTAACATTAATGCTTTGATCTCAATGTTGATTAAAAACATTAAGTAGGATGCTTATACTTCTAATCTGATTGAAATAAACCACATAATGTCAGGTTGGACAGATTTCTCTGTGGGGTAAACAGCTCTCAAGTCATAAGTAAACATAACAATATACGAAACCAATCAAGCACAAAGTAAACATTTCTTAGCATGGCATTTCTGAATTCTTTTATATTTTAACTTCTGTTTCGGTCAGGGTGGACAGATATGGATTTCTGTCTGTTGTTATGTGAATGACTCCAACATTGCATTACTCAACATTCCCAAGTAGAATACACTTGTTCTTAAAAGTCGTCAGTATTTAAAAATACACTGGTTGTTCAAAGTCGTCAGTATTTAAAAATACACTGGTTGTTAAAATTCATCAATATTTAGATACACTGGTTGTTAAAAGTCGTCAGTATTTAAAAATACACTGGTTGTTAAAAGTCGTCAGTATTTAAAAATACACTGGTTGTTAAAAGTCGTCAGTATTTAAAATACACTGGTTCTTAAAAGTCGTCAATATTTAAATACACTTGTTCTTAAAAGTCGTCAATATTTAAATACACTGGTTCTTAAAAGTCATGAGTATTTAAAAATACACTGGTTCTTAAAAGTCATCCATAATTGAATAGACTGGTTCTTAAAAGTCGTGAAAAATTTTGTGATGATTTCACTGCCTACTTTATGTTAATGGTGTTGTGTTTATTTTTTAGCTCCAGGGATGAGGAGAGGTAGTAGTGGATGTTCTTTGGACAGTGGGGTGGTGAGTATATTTTTATCAGGTGCAGCGTGTATTTCACTGGACAGTGGGTTGTGAGTAGGCTTATATCTAGGTCAGGGGCATGTTTCACTGGACAGTGGGGTGGTGAGTATGCTTATATCTAGGTGTAGGGCATGTTTCAGTGGACAGTGGGGTGGTGAGTAGGCTTATATCTAGGTTTGGGGCATGTTTCACTGGACAGTGGGTTTGTAAGTATGCTTATATCTAGGTTTGGGGCATGTTTCAGTAGACAGTGGGGTGGTGAGTATGCTTATATCTAGGTCAGGGGCATGTTTCACTGGACAGTGGGGTGGTGAGTATGCTTATATCTAGGTTTGGGGCATGTTTCACTGGACAGTGGGGTGGTGAGTAGGCTTATATCTAGGTCAGGGGCCTGTTTCACTGGACAGTGGGGTGGTGAGTATGCTTATATCTAGGTTTGGGGCATGTTTCACTGGACAGTGGGGTGGTGAGTAGGCTTATATCTAGGTCAGGGGCCTGTTTCACTGGACAGTGGGGTGGTGAGTAGGCTCATATCTAGGTCAGGGGCATGTTTCACTGGACAATGGGGTTGTGAGTATGCTTATATCTAGGTTTGGGGCATGTTTCACTGGACAGTTGGGTGGTGAGTAGGCTTATATCTAGGTCAGGGGTGTATTTCACTGGACAGTGGGGTGGTGAGTATGCTTATATCTAGGTTTGGGGCATGTTTCACTGGACAGTGGGGTAGTGAGTATGCTTATATCTAGGTCAGGGGTGTGTTTCTCTGGACACTGGGTTGGTAAGTATGCTTATGTCTAGTACAGGGGTGTGTCTTGATGGATATTTTAATGGTGCGTATACTTATATCTAGTACAAGGGTGTGTCTCGCTGGGTTGTTTAATGGTGAACATACTTATATCCAGTGCAATAAAGGGGATCTGTTTGAATATACAAATTTACTTATCCTAAGAGTTTGATACTGACCAATGCAAATTAAAGATTTAATATTTTGATGTGTCATTTAAAAGTGAGTTCCTCTAAGTTAATGACAGTAATTATTTCAATATATTACCAAGAAGATCAAAATCATTGAGTTTCATGCTGACACAGGATGGCTGCCAGCCACATCACAAACTTCTTAATACATAATGTCAGCTGAATTAGCTGTAGTTCAACTTTTATATGATACTTGCAGGCATCAGGAAGCTCTGGTGGTGTCAACAGTAGTGGGGAATCCCTAGGGGCTCAGCATCCTCAGCGTTCACCAGCCTCACGAGCACCCTTTCTGTCGTCACAGGAACACCGCGGGGTTCGACCAAGACATCCTAAAACCTCCGTCGTGTATCTACATGGGGCTGGATCAGTTCCTGAAGGCACTGAGGTGTGAATGGTCTCCCTTACCAGCTGTCATACCTTGTTTTCTCTGAGGCTAGCTACTTCAAGCCAAGTATCAGCGAGAAAGACAGATCAAGGCTGAATGTTACAATCTTGCTATGTTGATGGTGTGATGTCTTATCAGTGTAAAATTCCAATCCTCAACAATAGATAGGTAGAAAATCTCCCTGGGAACACATATGATAAATGTTTATCATTACCAAGCAAAACAAGAATGGAGAAAATTATTTTCTAATATGACTCTTTAGGATGTACTATGTTCAAGATGTATCAAGCAAACTTATTCTTATTGATCAGGAGGTGATTCTTTGTAAAGTATGCATAGAAAGCATAGGGGCTGATATTTGAAAATATTAGAATTTAAAAAACGTTTTGCTACCTTAAAGGGTGGCGTTTCAATTTACTTTCTATTTTATTCATAATCTTTTCTTGGATAAAGTAAATTGAATTTAAATCAATATTTAGATTACTACCGCTGCACATATTCTCTACTTTGCCAAAATCATTTGTAATGATCATTTGATTAAAAAAAAAGAAAGTAACAGCTGTCTGTGATATGGGCTAGCACTTATATGTCATTATTATTAATGTTTTAAATTGTCTCAGTAATTGGTCTGAGGAATATACAATTTTCATGTACAGAACGTGCCATGGTCAGTGTCAGTTAGGTGCTTGAAACTTTATTAAAAGTCGGCACAGATGATGTTTGCTAAAGAGCTGAGAGTTTTTTTCTATATAATATTAACCAACATCTGTAAAGGTTTTGGAAATGGTATTAAAATCTGAAGTATTTCTTGTAAACAGAGCAATTGAATCAAAATTTCAAGATTTGAGTTGTTAACAAAATTCTGTTGTTTTTATGAAAAATATATATGTTAAATTTAAAATGACACATGAGAGGATGAGGAGGGTATTTTATTCTTGAATAGAGCTTATTATATAAAATGGAAGAATTTCTGCTGAATTGAGAGGATCCATTGAGCGATTGTGAATAAATTCCTGGAAGTGTACACATATAGAAAACATTTGACAGGTACCTGGCACTGTTCCTTGGGGATGGCATCATTCTATACAAGAGAAAGCAAGATCCACATTGAAATGATGTAACAATATTATAAAAAGTTGATTATACAAAAAAAGTATGTACGTATCTACAAAAACCTGATAATTAAAATGTGTATACAGTTTGATACACATGTGATGTAGTTTTAGCCACTCGTTATCAATGGTACCTGTCTCTTGCAAATCTACAGCCTGTTTGTGTTGTCTTGCTCACCAAGGTATACACGTTTATCTGACCTTACCTGTCTTTACCTGTGTTGTGTGTAATCACAATAGTGCACAGGTGTGTCAAACCTCACATGTGTTTTCTGTGATCAGGACGTTGATTACAGGTATCTAAACTGTATTTTCCATGTTTGTATTGTCTACATAATCATAAACAACAGGTATTGTACCTATATTTACCTATTTGGTATACAGGTACCTACTATATGTAAGGGATGATTAATTACCATGAGTGCTAAATGAGACAACCCCTTTCACAAAAATCTCGGACTTGAGGAAGTACTACTACATGCAGTACTTAAACAGTTATTGACTGATACATGAGCAAACAGTAAGACTCGATACTTGCGTGGGACCATGAACTTTGACTCAGACTTTTAGTGCTATTGTTAATTGACTCAGATGTGAGCATATATTGACTCGGAATGGCATGAGCCAAGCTAATGAATATTTAGTCTACTTTGAGTCAAGTATGGAGGCTATTTTGTCCTGGCCATGTCAACAGAAAGGAAAGTACTAAAACAGTGTATATTTATTGGGCTTGATGGCTAACAAATTATCCACATATTACTGAATGTTTAATTTAATGTAGACCAATCGTTGCTCGTGATAAACTGAACAATATTTAAGTGTTCTTCTTACTGTTGGAGAATTTATAATGTGTGGATAGATCTGACAAGCCAAGGTGGTAAATTTAGTACAGTTTCATGATGAAACAGGGATGATGGATCCTATACCATATATTAAGTTTTGTAGGTTTGTGAAGATCTGAGAAAAGAACCTTCGAATGTTTTTCCTGCTAATGATATTACATGTATTTAGAAACTTACGAAATTCTATATTAAGTTAAGGTCAAGTCCGAGATTCTTTAATTGGATTGGTCCACAGATTCCAGCATGTGTCAGTGAAACTTGACACTGACAACATCTGTTTAATATAACCGGATATCCTAAAATATTGGGTTTCAAAGTAAATCAAACGTGTGTGTAGGAACACAATGTTTTAACTATGTTAACTTATGCAAATCTGTTATTGTAATAAGTTGCTGTTATTGGCTGGGTACTTGGATGTCAGTTTGCTGTGTTCGTGTTGAAATGAAGTGTTGCGAGGTTGAAAAGTGTTTCGTACTAGCTGGTACACTAGAACACACTCTAGTGAAGTGGCGATTTTTACAATTCTGATACCCACAATATGTAGCAGACTTTAAACAACGGATATGTTGTCTCATCAAATGAGGCTTGTAATTAGTGTATTCTTGAGCTGTAAACAAATATGTCACGTAAATTATTCTGTACATAGATATCAGTTGTTTATAAAGAATTTGAACAATGTAGTGTGAAAATAAGGCGAGACAATTCTTTATAACCAAGAAAAATTGTTCACTATTAGAACTAGGTATAATACAGATAGAAATGATTTTGTGTAATGATTTTTTGTTTGAGAAATAACATGTACTTTACAATTGCCTGTAGCTTTACAGAAAGTTAAAATCTAGTAAAATCTAGATATTTGTGTAAACCACGTTAAGAATTCGGAGGTAAATATACTATTGTATAAGACATGAAACTACCATGGAGTGCAACCTTCTCCAAACAAACCAATAACATGGTTCTGAGGTGATAGACAAAGCAGACTGTGTTTTGTGTTGAGATCCAACACAAATTAACTGTACTAGATTTTGTTACCTGTGGTATGTACTGTGATAGAAGTTTGAAGTGATCTACTCCAACATAACATGATATTCAGACAATTGAGTCCCATATCAATCCTATAAAATTTAATGTGAGACTGTTTAGTGAACATTTAACTTTTCTGTAAAGCTCTATGGAATTAGCTTCTCTGTGTGTGCTGATGGTAGTTGTACAGGGAGTTAAAAGTTATTGATTTCCTGCAGAACTACTTTGTGTGTGAGGCATGAAATGTGAATATGTACAGAGGACAAATGTGAAAAGGAAACTCCAATTGTGTTTTGAGGGAGAAAGACTGTAGTTAAGGAGAGAGACTTTGTGTGATTTTGGGCTTGTGCAACCAAACTTATACCCAGTAAATAGGAACAATTATAAAAATAGTAAGATATATGTACCTTGTAGTGATTCATCTTAACTTGAAAAGACAAATAATGTGTGAATTGTGTTTGTGTGGAAGCAAAATAATATAAGACCAAAATAATTTGAGCAATATTGTTTTTTTCTCACCTTATATTTAACAATATCATATATTGTTACTTGGTGACCTTGTACAACAAAAGAAATGAATTCATGGTAACTTAAAAAAAATAAACAAGAAACAAATCCTATCTGATGTACCTCTTGTTTTTTATATAAGTAGAGGAGGGTCCTCAACTCTTCATCAAATATAATGAGACTTCGTACATAAGGAGCCCAAGTGACCTAATATATGAACATACCGGCATTCGGAGGATACAAGTTTAATTCACTTGTTACAAGTTAACCCAGCTGCTTTACATTTTTGTAGTCGTGATTTATATCTCAAATTACTGTGATTGTAGGCAATTTGTAGGAGGTTATACAGGAAATAGACAGTAGATTATGTGAAATTACCACCTTACATTAAAAAATGGTTAATTTGTTTTGGTACAAAATTGACAGGTGAATTACTGGTAACCACGTGATCATTTGTTGTATTGAACATGACTAGTGAATCAGGGAAACATATTAAATTGAATGAAAATCCATCAGATGCATCTGAAGAAAAGTGACATTCTGCAAGTGCCAACCATAGGCTTTCTTAAGTTTCAAATTGTCCACGAAATGAAACGTGCACAACTGAGGACGGAGTGAAACCTCCAAGTGGAATGTTATAATTATTCATCAAGTACATTGTACACAAATAACAATAACAAACTAACTCCAAGATGGCTTTCTCTCAGCAATTTTGATTTTCAGAAACTTCCTCCTGAACATGGATAATAGGGAGCAAATGCTAGGCTACTGAGGTAGATCCCTTCATTGATTCAGGATATAGCAATAACAAACTTAACTGTCAAAATCCAAAAAGGTCCATTTTCAGCCATTTCACTTTTCCGATGTGTCTCAAAACGGACAATGCACAACAAAAGAATATAGGGAACCAATACATGAGAACGATCCATCGAGTTCTTCTCACGAAATAGAGATGGATGATTTTTAGGCTTCTGATTGGTGGCCAATTTCTTTACAATTGTAAAATTGAATGAAATAGAGTTTACAAACCACAACAATCAAAATACAAAAAGACCACTTGTCGGCCGTTTTTTTTGGTTTTTTTTTTTTTTGTTTTGTTTTTATTTTGTTTATCAGGCCCAAAAATGGACATTAGCAGTTCAGAGGTGCTTAAAGGAACCTACATTTAAATCTTAGTATTTGTCAAGAAATATTGATAACAAAAACTGTTTAAGGATGGTTCCCCACTGTCATGCTTGTCACACTGTTGGCTCCAAAGACTACACTAAATTATGATTTTTAAAATTAAACAAGGACTCAAAATATTTTTTCATGCATCTACCTTATAAGTTGTGTGTTTGCACTTGGAAATGATATGTAATCATCTTTATGTATTCAAACGAACAACACCAAGTTTTTCAACTTCAAAACGATGAGAAATGATGGAGTACTCTTACAACAAATAATAGCACTTTCAGGAATATTTATCAAATATAACAATGAAAATATCGCATTCATGAAAACAACGCACCAAACATCAACAGAAACAGAAATTCATATTTTTATGAACAACCATGTACAAAGACACAGTTTAAAAAATATAAGTGCTGTTGATGGACACGAAAGGGACGCCAAACATTTAAACTTAAGAAAAAAACTATATTCTAGAAAAGGTCATTTGAAGAATGAAAGGTCATGTTATAAATTTCAGATTTCCAAATATCTTTGGAGTTCAGTTTTGTCCAGACCATGAAAAAGACTTATTCAGAACACGTAATCTTCCTGGGGTTTTATTCTGAAATCTCGGTTTATGACTATGTGTCAAAGGAAGTCAATAAGATTTTTTAGACTTTTTTTCAATTTTGAGATATCAAAACAGAGCAAAGATTTATGGCAACAAGTTTCCTATCCCTCTGCATACACATTCATATAACTCATATGGGTCTTTGAATGAAGATAGGAAATAGAAAAATTAGTACATGTATATCTACATGACATTGAGCAGACGACAAGTTACATCTAAATATAAGCTGACAGACATTATTGAGTAGACGACAAATTACAGCTAAATACAAAGTGGGGGACAGCACTGAGTGGGCGACAACTTACAGCTTAATATAAAATGGGGGATAACATTGAGCAGGCGACAACTTATATCTAAATATAAACTGCGACACGGCATTGAGTAGGCGACAAGTTACAGCTAAATAAAAACTGGGAGACAGCATTGAGTAGGCGACAACTTACAGCTAAATATAAACTGAGACACGGCATTGAGTAGGCGACAAGTTACAGCTTAATATAAACTGGGAGACAACATTGAGCAGGCGACAAGTTACAGCTTAATATGAATTGAAAGACAGAATTGAGCAGGCGACAAGTTACACTTAAATATATACTGGAAGACATCATTGATTAGGCGACAAGTTACAGCTAAATATAAACTGGGAGACAGCATTGATCAGGCGACAACTTACAGACTGATATCAACTCGGAGACAGCATTTAGCAGACGACAACTTACAGACTGATATCAACTCGGAGACAGCATTTAGCAGGCGACAACTTACAATAGACTGGGAAAAATAAATGTTTTAATGATGTCATTACCTGAAATTGAGTAAACTCCTTGGTCTTTACATCCGACTTTCCCAATTAGAAGAAAAATGACCAATATCTCTAGTACCGGTGACCATGAATTCCATCATTTAATCATTGCCAGCTACTCGAATCTGTGGTGACGCTTCCAAATTTGCCGAAGTTTGTATGACATATTTTGGTAAATAGTTCTATTCTGGTGAATGGTTAAATACAAATATTTCCCCCAGCTAATCGAGCTACATACAATAAGATCAAAGCCATTTAACACTGCATGTCTTCTATCTAGGATGATGTTAGGATAGCCCATGTATATTTGTCGCAAACTGGCGGCTGGGAATCATAGGATAAGGATCAGGCCAAACAAATGGACAAAATATACAGGAGAAATATAAGTCACAGCAGGCAGTTTAAAACACTAATGTCCCAGTCTCGAATGATACACTTGAGACAACATACAAATAATACAACTTTTTCACGGATAGCTACCTTACTCACAAACAGAGATGCAGCATATCCCTCTCCGTTACCTTGCACATATCTCCCCGAGTTTGAACTGGTAGGCGGTCACCATAGCTGCCCCGTCCACTGACTCCACTACTGACAACTTTACTGGTAAATGTTTAGAATTAGTTCGTATATGTATTTCTAACTATGACATAACTATCCGTCCGTCGGATATACCCTGGTATCATTCTGTTTTACGTAAACATTGTCAGATTCGTGAAAGACTTCGGAAGAAAGCTGACAATGTTGGTAATTTGAAAGATAGGAAAAATTACGATGTTTTATAGTAATCTGGAGTCAAACATTCATGAATCAAGGAAGGATAACCCTAGTAACTTCTAGAAAATTCTCAAAACTTCATGTCTTCTCAATAAAATTACTCCCTCTCCTGCATTATGTCGAACATAATATTCCAAGTGTTGCTTATAATGATCAAGAAAAGACTTACAGTGGCGTAGCGTCCGTGCATGCTTGCATGCTCAAGCATGCAAGAATAAAATTCGAGAAAACATGTTTTCTTTTTCTTGTTTATTAATCTATTTCCATAATGTGCATGATTCTTTTCTCGCGATTTGTTTTATATACCGTTGCGACGATATATTCCGGAAACTTTCCAGGTTTCAAGTTTACTTTTATAATACCAGACACACTTCCGTAACCAAGTTAACAAGCGCTTACATTTTCGAGATCATGTCGAAAAAGATAGAAGATTTTTTCAAAAAGGTTCCAAAGTCTGATGTTGAAGAGTCTTCGTCAAATATAGCCGAATCGCTTCCCGATGACAAATCAGACCCAGTCAAACTTCAGCAAGAACTAAAAGAAGGACCATGTTGTGTTGACCTAGCTTGCGAACAGTTAACAGATCAAATAAAGAAGAAAGTTTTGTTAGAGTCCTGGGATCAGTGGCTCGGTTTTCCCTTTCCACAAAGGTATTGGTTATTCGCAAATGAGAGTTTTAGAGTTCAGAAGGTTCCGGGTTCGAGCCCGGTCTTTCCCCATTCCTATAGTATTTCACAATTACTGTAAATAATGGCCTAGATATATCTAATATCATCACAAAGAAATAAATCGTCAACTAATAGAATTGTGTTACAAGTGTCTATACTATAACATCTATATTAGAGATATTACAGATAGGAGGCAAAATGCGCATACACACGTTACACTAAAAACACATAATCTTATGCGTGTTTGTATTAGTGTTCTGTGCCTCATATCGGTATGTTTGTGGTTGAAATGTAATATACGGCTGTTTTCTACATTTTGTTTCAAATAATCAATTTAACAGCATTCGCCATTTGTTAAATATGCCAACTTGTTTCTTTTTCGTCTTATGAACAATTTGGGTCATATAAGAATACTTCTTGGAATTAAGAGAACAAAAATATGCAGCATTGAACTCAGGATCTTCTGAACACTAGACCGTCAGTTTAAGCGATTAAGCCGTCTGGTCACCGGCAATCCCAGTTCATTGACAGTTTCGTTACCATTACCCTAAGACATATTGTTTCTGTTATTCAAGGGTATTGTTAGCTCTTTTTCCACTACCCTATGCATAATAAAAGGTAACGATGATTTTATGAGCTTTTGCATTCATTAAGGATCATAAAGTACAACAAAATATGTGTCTAAACTACATGTATTGTAACAATACAGTTTCCTCATACTTATGGACGCTTATCGATAAAAAAATCAATGCTCTTTTTGTGTAGCTTTTTAAAAATATGATTTCAATAGATAAATAGAAAGGGTGAATTTAGATTTTAAATTCAGGAAAAAACATATCTAAACTATATGGATTTTGAAAAGGGCTGTAAGGATTTTGAAAAGGGCTTTAAGGATTTTGAAAAGGGCTTTACGTACGAGTTGAAACTAAAATTCAGCAGAAAAGTGAGTTAACGTATATAGAACCCGTCTGATGAAACATATATGGTTCATGATATAATACATGCTACTTCCGTACTATATATGCAATTTTAAAAGCGTTTTTCAAATAGATGATTTTACGTTGTTACATCATGTATTTGTAC